GCTACTCGCACTAGCTAAGCTTTGCTGTACCATCGGTGTAGGAGCAGCTACTCGCACTAGCTAAGCTTTGCTGTATCCATCGGTGTAGGAGCATATAAGTCTGACTGAGTTTGTGTTGTCACTTTTGTCAGCCTAGGTTCTCTGACATTGGTCGTGATCCACTGCCTAGAGTACATGCGCAGTAACAGTTTGAACGCTGCTTCGCTTTTGAAAACAATACTTAAACAGATGGCGACACCTGTTGCAAGATAGCAGCCATCTTTTATACATTGTTCAAGTTTCTTAGTTTGTTTTTGCTTGCTTGTGTGCCTATGTGCGATAGGTGGCGCTGCTACTTTGTGCGATAGGTGGCGCTGCTACTGTGTGCGATAGGTGGCGCTGCTATAATCTCACGATCATGACGTGTTACTGCTTGTGTCGAGCACCCAACAGGTGGCGCTGCCACATCTAGTGAGTAATATAGGTGGCGCTGATTAGCTCGTTGTGGGTTAGTTTATTTTGTTTTTTCTCGACTAGCGTTAGCGCGCGCTGATTGGTTGACCCAGCATCGGGGCGTTTATGAGAGATGCATGGATTATTGTACTGCCATTATCGACAAGAGGTGAAACAACATTGATATGTAAAAGCTCGACTCTGACACAGTTAATTTGCTGGAGTCGGCAATATTATTTCGTGAGATGGAGTTTAGTATATTGATACGATAACGAGGCCTCAGGATTAGGAAGTAAGCGAGTATGGTTTATTTGACTCTAAGTCATGACCTTAGGGTGATGAACTTGAAGTCATGACCTTGGGAGATTTGATGGTGCATTATTTCGCATGGCTGGCCTTTTTATCGTTTCATGAGAAGTGCTTCCAATTTTGTATTTGAACATATTCATGATTTGAGTTTATGTCAAAGTTACTTTTGCTACTATTTTGTAAATAAACACAGCAGTGAGAAATAAAGTGATGACTTTGTCAACTACAATTTGTGTATCTCAGCTGTCATACGTTTCCCATGTAATGTGTTCACCCGACATGCTGCCATCTTCCTTACAATAATGGTCTATAAAGGGCATCACCAACAATAGATGCACCTCCTATCAATGCTTACATGTCATCTTCACCAAGGGATACTTTGTATTAAAACAACACCAGTAGTTTGTTAATGTACTAACAACACCCATGGTTCGGTAATGTGCCCCTGTACTAACAACACCCATGGTTCGTTGACGTGTCATTCACAAATCAATCACGATGAATTTAGTTTGCCGTCTTCTGAATACTGGTTATAGTGCATTAATGGTGAATTAAGTGAACAACAGAAACAACAGCAACAACGACAGGTGTAAGACAAACAGTATATGCGATATTTACATAATTTGTGTTACGGCTTAGTTATAACTATGACCTCTTACAACAATAGTACACGTTGTAATTCCACTAGTGGAACACGATACATACATACATGTATATATATATAGCCAATTTTTACTAGTAAATAAAGCGCATTTTTATGTAAAAGAAGGAATGCTTTCGATACTTTGTAGGTTTCACTTCTACCTATAAATCGGAGATTATAAAATCAACACATGTTTAACGGTTTGGAGAAAACTTACAGAACAGAGTAAATACACTAAGGCGCGCTGACATCAAGAACATCTAATGCAGGCTGGCGCGGTTGGGTGGCACATATAGAACGGAGTACATTACAGTATAAACACATTTATACTCTAGTAGTAGCAATAGCAGCTAGTAGTAAAGATATGTTCATTACTATACTAGGAAGCATTGCAAAAATTGTTTAAACTAAACAAGTTGTGGACAAATCTCTGACGACTGCTGGAATTATCAGCAAATCCAGTGTATATTGTTATTAGTGTGAAGTATTGCTGGTGTGTTTTATAGGATCTCAATGAGAACGTAGATTGACATGTACATAGAATCTGAAGATCATAACCCCTTTATGTGCACTTGATAGAATAGTACTATGTATTTATGGACTATATACATAGAGTACTAGTATTCTACGACACATTGGCTATGATATCCTAAAATGCATCCTACACCATTGTGTGGAAATTAATGAATACATTATCTCATTCTACTATCAAGGAAGGTCGAGGGATATGTAACCTGCTGTTATCGTTCTTAGTCAGGCAATAACAAGCAGAGACAAGACATTAATCCAGTTTAATCGCCATCGAAGAATCTAACTATTAACATTATACTCTCTATTTGGCTAACCTATACACACGTGTACACACTGACACAATTTACACCGAAAACAAATGAAAAGGTTCTTCAATAAATTGATGATTTTACTTTAGAAATTACAATCTGTTCAAATTAAATTGCATTCCACTTCAAAACTAAACTAATTCTATTCTATCTGCGGGTCCGGACAATCTGCGAGCCAGTGAGCCATCGAAAAAGTCATGGCAACGTGGTCGCCATGTTGGACGCGCTGGAGTCTGGAAAGAGCGCGACAAAATCGCGACTTTCTCACCCCTCCTTATCTCGATTTCCCCTCCTGTGCTGCGATCTTCCTTGCGAAACGCTCGAACGGCGTGCTCGATCATTCGAACATTTCAGATTAATCAATTCAGAACATTCACTCCGCTTACAAGCCCATTATTACGCGTATCAGTATCATTATCATTGTTTATCTATTGTTCTAAGGGCAAAAAAATGCCTTTCAAGTATAATTAAGCCCAGGGCTTACAACTAGGAGTTTACGGTAACAAACTCAAATTAGCGCGTGCCATATGCAACTACGGAGCTAGAGACTCGGAAACAATATAAACGAGTGGATTTCACAAGAATTTACCGACCAGTCCTTTTGCCCTTGAGCAGCTGAATGCACTATATTTTCGATTTATTTTTTATTTTTCAATAGCTCACATGGCTCGCTGCTTTGACTTGCTGGCTCGCACCATAGATATATATACCAACCAATATATATACCTTGGTTGGTATATATATCTATGCTCGCACCGTATCTGCACTCTCTATCTGCCACCAGGGCCGCTTTACCATCCATAGAACCAATCACGACATTCGGTTCTTACAAAACCATGCCGATGCACAATTTTAATCTTTGATTAACGAAAATGCTTAGAAAAATTAACGAGCGAGCTTTTAGATTTCTGAGAATCACTCGGAACAATCAGACATTCTGGGCCAGCCAGAAACAAAAAATCACTAACACAATCAGGGCTATTCTTCAGTATTGATCGGGAGGACAACATAAACTAAATTAAAAATATCTTTATGTTCTCGACATTGAAATGTGCACAAAATCCTCCGGTCGTTGGAATGAATTCAAATAAAATAGTACAAACTATCACAACATTAAAATAAATACTCCACAACACAATGCAATCATCAAATCATCATTAATTTACAAGATCATGATTGGTCGGGTTGAAACCGACACAACTAAAAACCTCTCAACAACAACAGTAGCACTCTACTGAAGTGACACTCAGTCACATAGTCATGTACACCTGCAGACACTTATGGTGTGCACTACATATATGTCACCTATTGGAATGTATTGGATTACTTACTGGAATCGGAATAATTCAGCCCACCCTTAGAGGATTTATTCCCAGTAAACCTGTCAGAAAATATCACGGGCCCTATTTTGTGGAGTATTCCATAATAAAACATACAGACATAGGAAATAATAATAAAACACTGCTGATTCCTGATTTACGGCAAAGAAGATATCTTTAAGGATGGGCTATAATATCCAACATGAAGGAATGAGATACCATAATAAAAATAACCACACGCATTTGACACTTGAATGCTCAACGTTTCAAAACACAAATGGAATGTATGTTTAAGAAATTAACAGTAGCTGCTTCTATGCACTAACATCGTCACAATAGGTAGGGTAGCAAATTTGTCTTCTACGTATTCCAAAAACAACCTTCACAACACAAATGTGGAGAAGTGTAGACACACACACTTAACACTGCTGAATGTGCAGAAGTGTAGACACACACTTAACACTGCTGAATGTGCAGAAGTGTAGACACACACTTAACACTGCTGAATGTGGGGAAGTGTAGACACACACTTAACACTGCTGAATGTGGGGAAGTGTAGACACACACTTAACACTGCTGAATGTGGGGAAGTGTAGACACACACTTAACACTGCTGAATGTGCAGAAGTGTAGACACACACTTAACACTTCTGAATTAATAATAAAAACATAGATATTATGTATCCTTGACAGTAGCTGCTTGAGTGTAAACACACACTTAACACTGCTGAATTAATAATCAAAACATAAATATTATGTATCCTTGACAGTAGCTGCTTGCGTGTAAAAGATTTGCTGAACGATTCTCACAACCCAACGAAACAAACACCAAGTGCTATCACGTGGAAATGGCTGACATCCTGCAACGCCAACTGGTGTATAATATAGCGACCAGCTGGATGACTTCAGAGATGCAGCCAGATGGTTCATTGTTGCAGTTTGGGTCATTCTAGCGCAAAACCTGTCGTTTCCATGTAGTATTGGTGGTCCACCAAGTAATTATATGTGGAGCAAACAGGCGGTAGGTATAACACATACATGCCACACACACGTATGCACGTACACACGCACGCAGACTCGTGCTGTGGTCTTGATTATGGATAATGACTCACATTTACCCCGTGATTGCAGACTTCATGCTCACTGGCCATGTCCACAGTTCCTCTACTTCCATTGTATCCATCAGTACATGTGGTTGCCTCCTCATGGATCAGGGTCAGCATTCACTGCTGCCAGCAGGGTCACACACACACACACACACACCCGGCTGTTGCCACTATAGGGTCAGCATTCACTGAAGCCAGCAGGGTCATATGTCTGGCTGTCCACCTCATGGTCATCCTGCTCAGGTGGGATGACCGGCTTGAAGGGTCTCTCACTGTTATGTCTCTGCAGGGAGTTTGCGCGCTGTCGATCCTTCTCCCCTTCATTTAAATCTGGAAGACTGTGCTCCCGCTTAGAGAGAGAGGATCTCTCCCTCGCATCCAGCCGGGGAAAACTTCCGCGCATCTCATCCTGTTTACCACACTCCCCACCAGGGGGCGATGCTGAGGCAGATCTCTGAGACGGGTTTTCCTCGGGAGTATCCTCGGTGCACACAGCGCTCCCTGGTGTTGTTTGTGTGTCGTCACACGTGGGGGCGGAGGAGTCGCTGTCCTCTGATTGGCTCTTGCGGTGCTGGGCGCCGTCCAATAGCGGCTGGTTGTCGCCATTACACAGGAAACTTGCACGTTCCTCCTTCTCATCTGTTCCTGAAAGATCAACCATGTCAGTGTCACAATCAAGCTGATTGAACATATATATATATATATATGTACATACATGTGTACGTACGTATGC